TGTATCGACTTGAAGGAAGAATTTGTATGGCTTTCCAAAACTAAGTTGGGGGATGTTTCTACAGAATCCTGAATCTGTGGAAGCTGATCAGATACCCAGAGTCTTTCTACTGGTCTACCCAATACTTCATCAGACGAGATGTCAAAAACATTGTGGATATGACATGTGACTAAATTATTGAGATATGTGGAGTGGTAATATCATTTACTAATAGCTGAACTTAGAACTCTATCGAAAATTATGTAATCAAAAAGAGTGTCCTGTAACATTGGTAACTATGGTCTAAGAGAGTTTATGTTACTTAAAAGAATATCTGAATTTACTCACCGCCGATCAATAGTTGAACCGGGCTGGGAACTGCATACCGAGAATTCGCTAATTTAACGGAACTGGGAATATGAATTTTCTTTGTTTATGTATGTATCTTACGTAAATATTTAGTGATACGAGGAACTACAAAGCAACTAACATTTAACTTATTTATTTATCTGTAGCTGTCCAATATATCTGTAAAAATTATGTAAGCAAATGGGAAATTCGTGTAGAAGAGGACGTGCCAGAAATCCCTTTAATTTATACGGTCTGAGATTCTGTGTTAATCTTTAAGTGATATATTAGGTCACTGGTTACCAGAGATAGTTGGCTGGCATTGTCAAAAGGAGCTTTCACTTAAATTCATTTATAAGATTTTCGTGATCCTTATCTTTATGTATAGCATGGAATTATAACGTTGATTGCAGTAAAAACACATGTTATTACTAGGACATTATTTGAATAAATGTTTATTCCCTTAACGATAAAAGCATAATAAGTCTTGCTTGACAAACTCACATCCCGTTGCAACATTTTGTGACTTAGTGTTTACAAGCACAAATAGAATAAGACTTGTTAATGTTAATGTTGTTTTATGATGGTAATGATAATGACATGAAAATTTTACGTCTTTGCTATCTGGGGGTTTAAACTTACCAGTGGTGATTGAAAGCATTTCCAAATGACAAACTCGATTTTAAATCACATTTATAAATTGGGAAACATGTGATTGCTTAAATTCCTATTTATGAGAAAATATTTTAATTTCTGGCTGATTAGATGTATAAAATCTAAATTTACCAAAAAAAAACTAACAATAAAGCAACAACTTAAAAAAACTTAAATATTATGGAAATGGGAATAAGTTTAGAAAGTAGTTAGTTAGTTTTAGTCCGATCGGACTATCATTAATAAAACATCTTAAGAGTAGTTAAAACTAGCCTCATTGTTACCTCGAAAACCTTTTTTTGGATGGTGCTAGAAAGGTCACCAATGGAGATACTGCGGACGGCAGCCAGATGGTTGCCGTCATGGGCAGTGTCATTTACCGTGGAGAGCGAGTCATGGGTCCGAAGCTAGTTTTTGGAACTGGGAATAGGTCCAACAGACGAAATAAGTAAACACAGGACAGGATAAGATATATTAGAAAAGATAAAGAAATAATCAAAAAGATATATGGATAAAATTACCAAAGATAAGATAAGATAAGATAAAAAAAGGGAGCCACTGGCTCCCTTTTTCTATCCACAACTTTTTGGGGTCAAAAGGGAAAACTGAGATACCCTAGAAACGAAAAGAGGAAAGGAAAGATATCAACAGTTAATTGTGAAATAAATTTGGTGAAAATACTACCTACACAAATAATAAATATATTAGGTGGACTCCGTCCATCTACTTACCTTCGAAACTTTATAGCCTTGATCTTTCTTGTGGTCGAAGGTATAATAATAATTTAATATAATAAGCAAATATTCAGAAGTATTGTTATATCAGGAAACATATTAGGAGTCGAGAAATAAAATTCATTGATAAAACAAAACAATATATTCGACAACACGATTAAATTTGGATAAATCTGAGGATTTTAAATCTAAATGTAAGTAAAAGAAATTCACCATCATTTATTAAATGGTGATATACATAAAAAAATAAACAGTATTATGGATAATAAATAGCTTTACAAATACAATATAATATAAAGTCATGCAAAAATTAAATTATCAGCGAAGAGAGTCTGGTAGTTGGTTTTTAAAAACATTCAACTTAAACTGATTCAAATCTCTCTTTGTTGTTTATGGGCTTATCTCGAGATAACGGGTTAAAAATGTGTAACAATTATAGCAAATAACAAAATTAATTAAATCTAAATTCAAAAGAATAACAAAAAGGTTACAAGAATTCTGTATTATAAAAATTAAACCAACCCGCACTTGATTTTAAATTAATTTCTTTAAACCGCACTTGGTTTAGTTATAATAATTATTAGTGAGCAGTTCTTACTAGCTGATTGAAAGTTTGTATGCAAATATTAACTGTTCTTTTGGTTGAATAATCAATCAGTAGTTACCCTTAACTACAGGTGATGAGATAGTCGACGTAGATTCACCCAGATAATTGAAGGAAATATGATCACATACCATATCATTCGCCCAGATAATTAAAGGTTATATGATTATGATAACTTACTGTAGTGCCGTCCTAAGGAAAAATGTAGTATCTCCACAAATGTAAGTTTCGAGATAAAGCAGATTTTAATAAACAGGGCTGAGCCACCATATATTTATTTATGGATTCCGGAATTGTTTAACTGTGTTGTAGTTCTTTTTGATATCATTAAATAAGTTTATTTTTTTGTAAGCTATTTTTATAAATTTTAATGAAAAAATAATAAAAATAATGAAACAAAAAATACTGCTTTTAAGCAAGGTATATTCTTACACCCGTTAAGAATGAATTATATAAAAAAGCAATAACTCCAATAAGTTTGAGGTTACTGCTTTTAGGTGTAATATTTCTACAACGGAAAGCACGGTGGCAACAAAAATCATTTTGTTTTATTAATTTATTAGTTAAGAACTTTCTTAAAACATCATTAAGCTTAGCTCTACGTTTTGTAAAAAAAACAAACAATTAGTCAAAACAGATTATTAATTATTAAAAAAACACAAAATCCACTTATTAAACATCATCAAACTCCGATCTTCTGCGGCTGATTCATTGACGGGAAGGCTCTGCCAAAATTGTCTTTTCTGATTTTCTGATTTTCAGGAATTAATGTAACCATATTTTGCAAAATCGCTAGCTTCCTTTCTTCTGTATTCCTCTTGGTTTTGAAATGCTGACAGGTTCTTTAAATTTTAAAAAATTTAATCCTTTTTTTTTCGTTGAAAACAAAACTTGTTTTATAAAAAAATTAAAGATACCTCGCTTAGCAACAACTTGAACCATGTCTTTCAAGTAGTGTCGTGGTGTTGTATGGTTTATTTTGTAAATTGATGAGTTGTCAGCTCAAACAAGGAAATCCTCAAGCTTTATTTCTTTGGTCTCAACCTTTCCAGAATTAGCTGACTGAATGCAAGACACAAAATCATCGAAGTCATTAACCTTTTTTATTTGCTGTAAAGACTGCTCCACCTGGTGGTGAAAACTGTCAGCTGACATAAAATAATGACCTGGTTCAAAATATCTAAAGTTAATTGTCTGTGCTGCAATTATATTAGAATTGATAATGTATATTAAGTATGAAAACAGTGACCAATTCTTGTTTTGGCCCGCAGAGTTGTAAAGCCAAATGATTATATTATGTTCTACATCACGAGCGTGCAACATAAATGCATGAAATGTACTTATCAAGTCTTCCTTTTTCCTTCCTGATATGCATTCATGTCAGAGGCACGCAAAGGATTTGATTTTCTGTTTCTTTCCGACGGCTACAAAGGTTTCGTTGAAAATTATAATTCTTTGACAAAACACAACTTTTTTGAACATATCGATTCTGGGCAACCTAATCACCTTCTCCAAGTCAGATGAAACACAAACTGTGGTTGATGGATAATCATCATCAACCCTGTTCTTTTCACGTGCTTCCTTAGATTTTTTGATGTGTTCTTTCTAAAAGTTACAGTTACTACAATCCTCCGATAATGACTGTTCTGTATGGTCAAGATTGTAAAGCTTAAAATCCTCACACAATTCGCACTCCTCATGGCCTAACGATGGAAATGAAATATTTAAATCCTTAGACACACCTTTTCTATTTAGTTCATATGAACACTTTATAGTTGTATGAACTGTAATAAAATCTCTATGCATATTTCGAATTGTGATATCACTCGAAAGATATCTCTTGAGAGGAGCATGTTCCCTGCGATAATGGGACACAGAAGGATTGAAAGATTTAACATGTTTTTTTATTAATTCCCTATCTATACGGAGTGTTTTTGTATGTTTTCCTCTTCTATCAAATAAAGGTACTATATTCTCAGGATCTTCTTTCGCCATAACATTTGTGATGATTTTGTCGTTCTTTGAATGATATCCTAGAGTACATAGAAAAAATTTTTTGCACACTTTATGCTTTTTACCATTACTTTTTAAAAAATAATAAAATGTCCTTTTTCGACCACTTTCTACACTACCGTGCCTTCTTTTCACATCATAAACTGCCACATTTGACGAAACAAAAATCCGTCTCTCTAGCCAATTCATCGACCAGTACTGCTTGTTTATTGTTACCCGCTGATTCTCATTAAAAACTGTTTTACATTTCCTATGGCACACATCGCACCCAGGTCGAATATAGTGTTTGTCTCGTTGCTTCTGAGCATGTTCTTCTTTCCTGTCTTGTTTTGTTTTATTATTTCTCGTTCTCAGGTTTCCCTTTTTAGTATTATACGTTTCCACGGAATTTTCACTGCAAGATACGGCAGAGCTTGTTGCAGCTATGGCACTGTTGTACCAGCTGTACTAATGTTCTTAGTGTTACAACTCTTATTAGTAGCTCCAGAACTGTCGTCCGATTCTGATTCAACGCTACCACTGAACTAGACTGCAAAAAATCAGTGTCTTTAAGTGAGTCATCAGAATCAGTCTGAAAACTCGTTAAAGTGGATGTAGCTGGCAAAGCTGAATTTTCACTTTCGGAGATTAGTAGCCTAACAGGTTCTAAGTTAATATGTATATTTTACCTTCTATCTCTTCACTGCCACGCGGTTCCTCACCATAACTTGGTTTGGTAACTTCCATTGTTTGCAGCATTTGCATAATTTTCTTACCCCGGGTTCCCATGTTTTGAATTTCTTTAGGTTAACTGTTAACTGTAACAAAATAATATATGACAATAAACCTATTAACAATCGAGTCGATAATAATACATACCTAAAACTTTTTAAAAGAAATAAATGTATTGTAATCATTATTATTGATATGAATACGTACACACAGTGTGACTAATTAGAATAAACTGAAAGAAACTTACTCTTGCTTCCGGTTTCACAAAAACCGCCTGGTACCAGAAAGGATTAGTTCCCTTCGTACTCAGGATTAGAAAGGAAAGGATTAGAAACTTTTCGTAGTCTGAGAAGTTCCGTGATATTTCGGTAGGTTCTAATAAAATTTGCCGATGGTAAACCAGACCACCCGCGTATATATTATTTGCAAATACGGCCATCGGCGTCTCAGCAACAGGGGTAAGGGATTAAAAAGTATTTAATATTTTAATTGTAAAAAAATGTTACAACATATTCTAGGTATGAAAACTTTTAGATTACATAGAAAACTTATTAAATTTTAAAAATGTAGCGACAAGATGTCTATGTTACAGGATATCACTTTAAGAGACCCAAGTTATCCCTGCTCGAAAAATGGATAACTTCATTTCGATAAGTCACTTATAATCACTTCTGTCTACTGTCTGTGTTTACGTTCTGTGTCAACGTAATTATAGGTTATTATATATTTTTAGAACACAAATAAACTCAAAAACTACACAAGAGACCCTGAAATTAGTATTTCCACCACCAAAGAAAAAACCCAGTACCTTCTGTTCGATTACATATACAGGCAAAATTACAACAAAAATAGCCAAACACACAAAAAAGAAAGGAATAACACCAGCTTTTCGAACAAATAACAATCTAGGCAAATATATCAAAAACAACAAGAGCCAAAATAAAAAACACTTACACAGTGGTGTGTACAAACTTAAATGTGGCGACTGCCCAAAAACTTACATCGGTCAAACTGGTAGAAACTTTAACAAACGAATAGCAGAACATAAAAGGGCTTTCAATAATAGAAAAACAGATTCTACATACGCACTTCACCTTCTAGATCACAATCATTCTTTTAACGACGAATTTAAAATTCTTCACATTCAAAATAAAGGCCTTAAGCTATCCTTGTTAGAATCTATGGAAATCAACAAATTAAAAAACACAGATATAATTTTGAATGACCAACTTGAGACAAACAGTTCTTCCCTCCACAACCTATTTCATTAGAGACTATAAAGTGTAAACGCATGCCAAAAGTAGATCACTTGAGAAAGGCAATCAGCCGAAACAGCTGTAGTGATAAGAGTTAAAATAAATTTTTGTGGAAGTTTGAAAACAAAGTTTTCAGTGATTTATTGTTACATTCACTTAAGTTGTTCCCAAATTCTTCCCAGAAGCTTTGTTTTGCATTTGCAACTGCATTTTGGAAATTTTATTTTTATTGTTATTATAGTTTTTTGTCCTTTGGATCCTTTGTTTGGACATATCTTCTTCATGCTTCTTTTTTGTCAGAGATACCTACTTTTACTGAGTTTGTCCACCATGTGGTTTCTTTTGATTTTTCATTATTTTTTGAATTTCGTAGAATTCTTTAGCTAATTTGTACATTACTTTTACTACCTTTAATTGTTTTCAAAACTAAGACAAAGAATGGTTTACCGCTATATTTGGTTTGCACTTTTGTATGGAGCAGAACTGTGGACACTAAAAGTATCTAGCATGAATACAATTGAATCATTGGAAACGTGAGGTCATAGACGGATCCTGAAGATACTTTGAACAACAAAAAAAAAATAAGGTAGTACGAAGGAGGGTCAACAAAGATATATAATTGTTTAAAAACTGTTAAGCAGCAAAAAATGTCTTATCTGGGACATACAATGCGAGATAATTGATATAAAATCTTACAACTGATCCTTGAATGCAAAATAGAAGGCCGTAGATATTAGGAAGTAAACAGGTTTCTTCGTTATCAAGATATAATGGATTAAAATATCTAATGCAGGACAATTACTCCATGTGGTAAAAGATGGAGAGGCCAACGTCGGATAATTCTGATATGGCAAGTGAAGAAGATAACAAATGGCACAAGTACACGACATCCTACATCGTAGACTCTCCTCACAAGAGGAAAAATAAATAATCTGGAATTTACATGAAAAAAAACATTTTTAACGAAAGCTGTTAATCGCTGTGTTTTTACCACGATAGCAAGAGGCCACAGTTGAACGTATTGTAATTCAAAAACTGACAATTTTTTTAAAACTTCCAACTAATTATCAGCAGAACAAAAACCTTTTAAGTGGAACGAGCTCTAAAACATATGCTCTACAAAACTGTACATTCTTTAAACATAGCGCTCTAACTCTCAAATCTGTTTTAAGTAATATCGAAATGGACAATCGTCCTAAAATGAGGCATGCATTGTAGCAAACAACATTACGTGATCTTTACTTTCGATATATAAAACGATGCCGGAATTCCATTTTAATAGATGAGCAAATAAAATCATGTGGATACAGTACGGAAAAAAATTATTACCTTGACGGGATTGGGTTAACGCAGGACATACAGATGGCAAAGTTTGGCATGATTAGGTAGTCACAAATGCTCAGGCATATTTTAATAAAGGATTATCGATATGACTTGTAGCATGTTAAAGTAAGAATCAGCATCTAATAATTGTCACCCATATTGGCAGCGATACTGCTTTTCTGTAAAATGGGGCTCTTGTTTTTATAGGGAAGAAAAGAGAATACTATCATGAAGACATAAATTCTACATGCTTTGTAAACGTTATTTAGCGTGTTGATAGTAACTCTCACATAATGTTGGATAATTTATCTTGTCACAAAAACCTTGTGGAACATACTCCAATAATTGATCGAAAATTGGTCATGCAGAGCAACGAGAAAAGTGAATTCTATTTACAGAGGGTATGGTTAAAGCAGATAATGAGAATAATATTAAGGGGCATTGTAGTAGATATCGTCAATATGCTGTTGATTTAATTACCAAACTTGATAATACTGCAATGCAAACTAGTATTAATTATATACATCGCACAGATTGGACGATGAGATTGAGAGAATGCTGTTGGCCACATATTAAAAATAGAAAAACATATTAGGAAGTTGGATTGGATTCCCAGGGTTTCGATAAATTAAATTGTAAGTAATATGTTTAATGTGATTAAATATGGATATTTGTATCATTCCAATAATTTTTTATGCAATACGGTTAAGAATAAATTTACCGTATTTGTGTTAATAATGCTATGTACGATACCGATAATTATCGGTACCGATAATAAGATCAGACGCCACCAGACAATAAGATACCTTTATGAGATAGCAATTATAGACACTGAAGAATAAGGATTTGGGTAACCTGAGGTGCGAAAATATGTGTCACCCTTCTCAATTTCTTATTATATTATAAAAAATTTGACTTACAGATGTATCTTTTGGCACAAAAAATATTTACTAAATTTAAGAAAGTTTTAATGAAATACATTATATACCAAAAAATATGACAAAGAATATATGCACTTTTAACACACGAAATTAAAAAAAAAACTTTTTACCTAAACGTTCTAACTAAACATTTTTCGTTGAAAAATTTATTTTGTGTTATGTAATCAAAATTTCGAGCAAAGATGTTTCAAATATTTTGGCAGATACATGATTTTGAATACCGATAACTCATAAGCATTACTTATATATGTATACGTATTTGTTAACAAAATCTTTTGAAAATTGGTTCAACAGAAAGAACGTGTGTCTAGTAGATACTTAAACAAAAATGACCCTGCATCAACTACTAAGAGTTATTAGCAGGGGGTACAAACACAAATTACAAGTATTATTCTTTAGAGTAGAGAGAATATTTTCTTCTTTCTTGGGGTGTATGTTTTGCATTCTAACAGAATATGTTTCACAGTGATTAGGATCTTGCAGTTGAGGCAGAAAGGGATGGCTTCTTTATTTATTAAGTAAATATGGGTTGGTATAATTCCACGAGGAAACTAAGTTCCTGTAGCTGGCTGTATACCATATATCACAAAAAAATTTAGTTAAAATCCTTTATAAAAGGTATATAAAAATGCCTCAAACGGGCTATCACAAACACATTGCAAAACTTTTTCGGATTAAACAATCCATCATCAGTGCAAACGGTTGTACATGCTAGTAGCCACCAAAATATATGGGTAAAAACCCTTTAAATGTTATAAATTTGAAGTTGTTTTACATTATTAGTATTTCTAATTTGTGATGGTTAAGTTACCGTTGGATAGGTAACATGGCGGCGTATGACTCTACATGAGTAAAATGGTCCTGAGACGAAGTGTCTACGAGGACCTGTTATCAACACCGCCGCCATGTTACCTATCCAACGGTAACTTAACCATCACAAATTAGAAATACTAATAATGTAAAACAACTTCAAATTTATAACATTTAAAGGGTTTTTACCCATATATTTTGGTGGCTACTAGCATGTACAACCGTTTGCACTGATGATAGATTGTTTAATCCGAAAACGTTTTGCAATGTGTTTGTGATAGCCCGTTTGAGGCATTTTATATACCTTGTATAAAGGATTTTAACAAAATTTTTTTTATGGGTTGGTATAGTATGTCCTAATCGTAGTCGACTTATTATCACTTGGAGATGAGTGGGAGTGGTAAGGTTGTGCCGACAGTTCTATAACATCTTTTAATTTGTTGGATGAGGAATTCCAGTTACACTGCCATAAGTTGGTAATATGTTTTTTTAATGGAGGTTTTATGGTCGTTTCTTGTTATCATGTGTGACACAGGGATGCTTTAATCTAGTGCAGCTTTATTCGCAAGTTGGTCCACTGCTTCGTTTTCCTTGATTCCCACGTGTGATGGCACCCATAAAAAAGTTATTTCTATGTTTCTGTTGATAGTAGTATGAGTTCATTTTTTATTAGCATTATAATTTCATTTGATAGATACAATTGCTGTAAAGCTTTTAGTCTACTTAA